CATTTGGGATGAGTATGAGGAGGCGAAAATAGTGGGGGGGAGATTAAAAGTTGAGTGCAAACATTGTAAGAAATTAATGCTAGGTGATCCCACTCAAGGTACGAGTCATTTGAAAAAACATTTTCAGAGATGTCGATCGAGACAATTTATTGACATGAGACAGAGGGTCTTGACAACTAATTTTTCGAAGGACAAATTTGAGTTGTCGCCTTATAATTTTGATCAAGAGATTTCCCGTAATGAAATGGCAAAAATGATCATTCAACACGAGTATCCTCTTAAGATGGTTGAACATGATGGATTCAAAAACTTTGTCAAGAGTTTGAATCCGTGTTATAAAATGGTAACAAGAAATACGATAAAGAAAGATTGTCTCAAGGTTTATGGAAATTTGAAGGAAGTTGTGTTGCGTGTTTTAGAGCTCAATGAGAGTCGGGTTGCAATCACAACAGATATGTGGACATCTTCCCATCAGAAGAGAGGATTTATGGCTATCACAGCCCACTATGTTGACAATAACTGGAAGTTGCAATCTCGAATTATCAGGTATCTGTAATAAATATTCTATTATGAATTCTTTGTTAATATTTCACTATTTGAGATTATATACATGTTTTAATATATTAAATTGTTTCATGTCGTCAATAAAATAAATTCTTTTTTTTTTCTTTTACCTTACAGGTTCATTTATGTGCCGAGCCCACATACGAGTGAGGTTTTATGTGAAGCTTTGATTGGATGCCTTCTTGATTGGAACCTTGACGGTAAACTATCCACTATCACGGTGGATAATTGTACCACCAACGATAAGATGATGAATCTCATCACGGCGAAACTTCCATCAGACTCTTTGATGTGCGGCGGAAAATTAGTACATATGAGATGTGCAGCTCATATCCTGAACTTGGTGGTACAAGACGGATTGAAGGTCATTGGAAATGCAATAGAGAAGGTGAGGGAAAGTGTCGCTTATTGGACTGCAACTCCCAAAAGAATGGAGAAATTTGAGGAGACGGCTCGTCAGCTTCGCGTGACACTCGGTAAGAAGCTTACACTTGATTGTAAAACTCGTTGGAACTCCACCTATTTGATGCTACAAATTGCGTTAGATTATAAAGATGTGTTTGCTCGCTTAAGTGTTCGCGATTCAAAATATGATTCTTTGCCTACGGAAAATGATTGGCACTTAACAAAGGAAATTTGTGGGAGATTGAGCTTATTTTATAAGGCGACTGAGTTGTTTTCTGGTACCGAATACCCCACTGCAAATTTGTATTTTCCAAAAATTTGTGAGATTAAGCTTGCTT